CCCTAGATGATCTGGAACTAACTATAGACCAGGATGACCTAGATCTCACAGAGATCTACCTGCCTCTGTTTCTTGAGTCCTGAAGATTTATAGGCATGCATCACCTTGTCCAGCTTCATTGTCCTTTTGATACATTACTGGATTTGGTTTTCTATATTCTCTTTAGAAATTTTGTATCTGTGTGCAAATGAGTGAAGTTGACCAGCAGTTTTCTCTTCCCTGACTTGCTTTGCCTGGCTTTGGTATCCTAAGGTTTTTTTTTTTTTTTTGGAGAGTGTTCAACTGGAATTTTTCTATCAAACCAGAGTTACTGAAACTTTGGTAGCATAATAATATTCCTTGTAGCATAATAATAATCCTTTAGTATTTATGTCTCTGTAGAGTTAACGGTTTGGTTCCCTTTTCAGTCCTAATGTGTTTATATTATGTTCCTTTTTTTCCTCATGATTATTCTCCCAGAGATCAATTTTTGTTTTTCCAGTTACCCTTTGTAAATACACAACTCTTGGCTTCACTAGTCTTCTCTATTCTAAGTTATCTAATTCACTCAAGAGTCTCTTTATTCTACCTTTGCTTTTAATAATCTATTTTGCTTATTTCTATTGTTTTTAAACCTTCACTTGAAGGCATAGATCATTTTCTAGTGTGAGCATTTGGTGCCATCTTTGTATACTACTTCGTTTACTCTTGCAATTTTAATATTACAGTGCTTCCTTTTGCTTGTTCATTATTTTCTAAACTACATTATAATTAAGTTTTTATTTTTTGGCTCTTTGGTTACTTAGAACTATCCTTTGAAATTTCTAAACAAAAGAGTTTTTCTTTTTAATTGATGTGTGAATTTAAATGCAGTAGGTGTGGCTCATGTGATACTAATTCTCTAATTTTAATGGCCTAGTCAGTTGTCACTTACTTGTTTTTAGCCAGTCTCACTATGTAGCTCTGGCTGACCTGGAACTCCCTGTGTAGACCAGGCTGGCCTTACAGAGATCTGCCTACTTCTTTCTTAGTGCCAGGATTAAGGCACCACCATTCCTGGCCCCAATCCTCACTTCTTAATGAGTGTTCCATATTTGTATTGAAGGCCTATGACATGGCTCAGTGGGTAAAAGCACCTGAGTTTGGGGAGTAAGTACTCCCCAGTACTTACATGTAGAAGGAGTGAACTCTTCTACAAGTTGTCCTCTGACCTCCACATGCATGCCATGGCATGTATGCGCTTACATACATACACAGCACCTATACTCACAAAATAAAAATGGTGTGAAAACAAAGCGCATATTGATTATATTGTGTTAAGATGTTCATTAATCAGTCATACTCATTCTTTTGTTCAGCATCTTCTATAGCTTCTCTTTTTTTTGTCTACCTTATGGGTTAATTTTTGGAAGTACGTGGTCGAATTTTCTAATGTGAGAGTAGTGTGTTAAAATCCCTCCTATTATATTGCAATCAGTTTCTGTTGCTGCATGTATGTTTGCTTTATACTGAAGGCAGTTGTTCTGAGGAGGTACCATTTTTCATATTACCCCAAGTAACTGAACTTTATTGCATTCTAGTGATTTTTGTTTTGTCTTTAAGAGTAATTTTTGGCCAAGCTTGGTGGTGCACGCCTTTAATCCCAGCACTTGGGAGGCAGAGGCAGGTGCATCTCTGTGAGTTCAAGGCCAGCCTGGTTTGCATAGTGAGTTCCAGGCCGGCTAGGACTACAGAGAGACCCTATATCACTTAAAGGGCCCGGGGAGATAGCTGAATTGGTAAAGTGTTTGCTGCACAGGCAGGAGTCTAGATCCCTAGCACCAATGTGAAAGTTGGGTGCAGGGACTGGACAGATGGCTCAGCAATTAAAAGCACTTACTACTCTTGCAGAGGACCTGGGTTCAGTTCCCAACATTCACATGACAGCTAACTACCATCTGCAACTCCAGTTCCAGGGGATCCAACACCCTCTTCTAACCTCTGTGGCCATTGTATGATATGAGTACATTTACATACATGCAGGCAATACACACATATACATAAAAATAATAAATAAAATATTTTAATAAATTTAGCAGGTCTTGTGAAGTGGTGTGGTAAGAGCTGGAAACCATCTCTTGGGTGTCCTTTTGAAAGCCTGTTGGGCAAGCACAACTGCTTCTAGATGTATCATGTCCTCCATATTCCTATTGAAGACACATTTCCCCCGGTCTGGCCCCTGCCCATTACTGAGCACAGCATGCCAGTACTATCCCTTGCTGCGAAGGAAGCAGAAACTTGGTTCAGATACTTTATCAACTGCAGGAGACTTTTTCAGAAATGCACAGCATTTGGGTTCTTCATAGCGAATTCTTTCCTCTCTTATCATC